TTTTTTGGTTGCAGCCGTCATTGTTGTTTGGCGGGTCCGGGCTGGGGATTCGAACCCTCCACCTTAGGTGTACGTGGCTGGCGCCTTAGCTGGTTGAGCTACAGGCGCCGAGCCCCATGCATCTTTCTGACCATTTCTTTTCAGCCTTCTGTTCTTTTCTCTCGCTGGGCTGGAGCGAGAGCATCCCCAAGGCCATGAAAACAAGTGCTTTTCACACATTTAATAACTATTTGGATTTCTTCTATAATTGCCTGTTAAGTCCTTTACCCTGTTTGTTGGATAATCTCCTACTGCTGCTGTAACGTATTACAGTGCAACACCAATTTATTTTGTCAGAAGTTTGATGTATGTTTCACAGGCCTAAAACCAAGGGGTTGGCAGGACCGCATTCCCTTCTGTAGGGTTCGCTTCTTGCCTTTCCCAGTTTCTAAAGGCTATCCACATTCCCTAGCTACTGGCTCCCCTTCCCCCTTCATCAAAAATAGCGTCTTCCCCCCACTACACTGGTCTACAATTCTGAATTTCCACTTGACACAGGAACACTTAATGAGTCCATGCTTTTCTCTGAAAAAATCTCACTATCACCCAGGCTGGAGTACAGTGGACTAATCATAGCTCACTATAACTGCAAACTCCTCAGCTCAAGCAATCCTACCTCAGCCTCTCAAGTAGCTGGAACTATATGTGTGCACCACTACACAGGCTATTTTGTAAATTTTTTAGAAAGATGGGGTCTTGCTATTTTACTCAGGTTAGAATGTAGTAGCTCTTCACAAGTCCAGTCCCACTACTGATCAGCCTGAGAGTTTTGGCATGCTCTTTTTTCCCATGTTGGCTGGTTCACCCCTCAGGCAAACTGGCAGTTCCTTATTTTAAAAAGTCTCTTATTAAAAAAGTTTGAGTAAAAGAACCTAACAGATGCAACTTGTCCTCAATTGAAAGGTTTATTCAAAACAGCTTTGAATAACATTACTTGGGTCACTTGGGAAACTGAATATAGAATGGCTAATAGATTGGTTCCTCACCTCCAGAAATTTACTTAAAGGGAAAGATTACTGACCAAAAAAAGTTATTAGCATTTTTAAAGCCAAATGACCTTGTTTTTAAAATACCACATGTATAGACACAAATACTTACACACACATGCATGATGGTGCACAACTGCCTGTAGTCCAAGAAGCTGAGGCAAAAGGATTGCTTGAGCTCAGGAGTTTGAAGTTATAGCAAGCTATGATTATGCCATTGCACTCTAATCTGGGGGACAGAGCAAGATTCTATCTCAAAAAAAAGAAAAACCAAACAAAAAAATAGAGGTTCTATAAAAGTAAGCCCAAATTCTCAATCCAGTAATCTTTCCACTCTATCATATACCCTCTAATCTGTATATTTGGTTGGAAAACCCAGCCAGTCAGAAGGTACATACTCTTCCTCTAAGTCACTATTCTGTTCCAAAGCTTTATTTAGCCCAAACCTATGTATAGGGTCTGAGTCTAAAACTCACCCCCTTCTGGCCAAGGGAGGAACTGAAGGTACTTTTCCTCCCTCACTACTATGGTCTCAAAGATAATGCAATTCTGAATTTCCACTTGACACAGGAACATTTAATGAGTCTATGCTTCTCTCTTTTTTTTTTTT